TCAGGCCGGCCGGGAGCGCAGGGAGCCGGGGGCGGGCGGCGGCTCGGTTTATAGCGCTTACAACGGCGTTTATTTCAATGCTTCTCTGTAAAATTCCGTCTGACAAAGCAAAAGCGGGTTGGTCGCAGTGCGAAGTGATAGATCTTGTGAGTTTTTTCCCCACTTAAAAGTAAACTCGGGTAGCTAACTTGAGACAGCGAACTGGATTAAAAAAAAAATAATCTGTGACCCTTTTAGTCTTCATGTTTATTAGTTAAATATTTTGCCCCGGTGTGGTCATGTGACTTAAATCTCCAGGAACAATTGATTAATCTTTTTAAATTAGTTGAACGAAGGTAAACACTGAAGCAATTTGCTCAACTTGAGAGATAAATACTGATGAGACGTAATGAAACTTAACTTTTAAAAGTGTGAGAAGGTTGACATTCCTCTTGACAATGCACAGGTTTGTTCCGATGATGGATACACAAGCAGCTTTCCCTTCTCCCGCCTTCCCTTTGGATGCTGTGAAAGGCCATAAGAGGAGGGATGGACCATTACAAGCTGCAAAACGGAATGCCTCCCTAGCATCCAAAATCAAAACGAGGTTAATGAGTAAGTCCTGTTCAAAACCTGAAGCAATCTAATTGAAATGTATGACTTCAAAAGGAATAATATTTATTTCACATGATTAACTGAATTGCTGCCTGTTAATATTTTAATGTGAAATGTTAAAATATTTAACATTAATAATATTTAGATTGTTAGTAACAATTAGAGACTTTTAGGAGAGTCTGAAAGTTAAAACACATTATTCTAGTTGTTTTATTGTCACAGATTCACAGAATGTTCAGGTTTGGAAGGGACCTCGAAAGGTGAGTCCAACCCCCCTGCCAGAGCAGGATCTCCTACAGTAGGACACACAGGAATGCGTGTGAGCCTGAGCAGCCTGTTCCAGCGCTCTGCCACCCTCACAATGAAGGTTTTTGTAATGCTTTTGGGGAACCTCCTACGCTCCAGGTTGCACCCGTTGCCCCTTGTCCTGTCATTAGAGATCCTGGAGAAGAGCCTGGCTCCATCCTCCTGACACTCCCCCTTGACATATTTATAAATATTAATAAGGTCGTCCTCAGTCTCCTCACCTCCAGGCCAAAGAGACCCAGGTCCTTCAGCCTTTCCTTATAAGAGAGGTGTTCCAGTTCATTCAACATCTTTGTGGCTCTGCGCTGGACTCTCTGAAGCCGTCTAATTCTCAGTATTTTCAGTGCTTGCTCTTCGGCATGGCAGTATTTATTGAGCGCGTACTCGAGTGCTTTTCTAACACCCATGTCTACGTCCATTTGAGACATCTGAAAACTGAGGTACCAAAATGAGTAAAAAGCAATGACCTCTTTAAATTATAGTTGACAAAGGAAAATACCTACTATTCCCATTTACAAAATGGAGTTTATACTAAATTCTTCACTGAGTCATTTCTGAAATCAAAGAAAACTACAAATACTAATCTGCTGATTTAATCACTTGCCAGAAGGTAGTTAATCTTCCTAGTAAATTGGGATTGCGTTCACACGTAGGTTTGCCGTGGTAGGATGGTAGGGTTTTGTTCCTGGCTCTGACAAAAATGACACTGTGGAACAACTCGGATTCTCTGCTGCAAAATGTGGGGAAACTATAAATGCAGTGAACCACCACCATTTCAGAGCTTTCTAATTCAAGCAGCGTGGTTAAGTGAATGCTGACTTCTGCTGCTCATTCTGTGATTTGTGCAGCAGCCTTTGTGTTGTTTATGTGTATATATATAGTCTGTGTTGTTTATGTGTATATATATATATATTTATATATATATGTCATTTGTTAATATATATGTATTTGAATTTACTGTGGCTTTATGTCAAAAATACTAATTATCACTGGAAAAATAAACAGTAGGGATGAATAATACTAAGTTTAAAAATCTCCACACTGCAACAACACACAAATTCACTAAGCTGAATAGTAATTTCAAAGTGTAATGCTGGGATTAACAAGATTACACTGCTGTTCCATGTTTTCCAAAGCAAAGAAAAAGGCTTTGTGAATTTTGTGTTACAGATCACAGAAGTAATAACATGTCAATGAAGAGATGTAGTTGCAGCAGATTTCAAGCTAATCTTGCTCTTTTTTGTGTTAACAAGTACTATGAATATGAGGGGGGGAACAATCATCTTGGTAATATGCAGTGTCACACACACACACACAAAGTTAAGTTCCTAAAACATTCTGTAACAGGTCTAAGTAGGCAGATTTTTTTCATTAGGACAGTGGAAGGTATAATTTAGAGCTTTTTTTTCCTTCTGTTGTCAAAACTCACTTCTATGCTCAAAATATTTGAACTTTTTGATTTTTAAAATGTAGATTTTCTTTTTAAACGTTGGGAACCATTTCTGTGGCTGTGAAATTACCCATTTTAAAATGCTTTCTTCTTAAAATAACCCTATTTGTTTAAAAAATCCAGATGAGAGCAGACTCGATGAATGAAATAAACTTGGAAGGTGACAGTGTAGTCAGCAGAATGACAACCAACAGGAATAGTTTTACACTAGGAAGTATTAGAGTCTGCTGTTATTCCACCAAAATCTACAGATAAAATTGTTATTATACAGTGACAGTTCATGCAGGGAGGGCTGGAGTTGAAGCTATTGAAAATAATATGATTTTGTCTCCTTTAGATAACTCATCTATGTTTAAAGTATCTTTAAAACAAAATAATAAAGCATTAGCTGTGGCTTTGAGTGTGGAGAAAGAAAACTCTCGGAAGCTAAAGAATGAGAAGATTTTTCTTCAGAAGGAAGTCAAAAAGTTACAGCTTCATAATATTTTGCTTCGTCAAAAACTAAACTACTTGGTATGCTGAAAATAATAGTATAATTTAAACTTAGATCAGCTAAACCAAGCTTTTATCTTTCCTGGAAGCTTAATACTGCTCCTTAAAATAGTGATTTAAAATGTACACCTCTGATTTGTGAAGTTATATCATCTGGTAGCCTAGTATTAATGTTTGATTCTTCTGTGTTTTTTTTTCTACTTAGTATTTTGTCCATCAGTGTATATGTCTATCCATAGCTATTTTAGTCTCACCTTTACCTTTCTAGGTATTGAGGTGGTATTAAGCAGCAATGTGTGCTCAACTGAGTGTTAAAAAGTTGAATTCAAACGTAAATTCACCTTTATATCTTGTCCTTTTCTTAAGCTGGAAGCCACTGAAAATGTATTTTTTTTGTTACTTTATTCTTTTACTTGCAGAATAAAACTCTTACAGAAATAGAAGCATTTTTGAATTATAACCTCTTAACTGCAATAGAAATAAGCAGTCTTTCTGAGGTAAGATTTTTTTTTAACTATTACCATATTGAAGTCATAATCCAGAATAATATTTTCAAAGCTTCTAAATGAGTGCAATATAGAAATCATATAAGCATTTTAAAATATTTACCCCAGTTCCTTAGAACTTGGGATGAAATCCTAGTCTAGTGAAATAAATTAAATTTTGCTGTTGCTTCCACTAAAATGTATTTAATCTTGTTTAGAAAGTATCCAAAAGTTAAATATCAGTTCTTCCTGATGAAGTTGTGGTTAAAACCCCCCAAAACCAAACACCATAGTACTTCGGTGTGTGGTATTCTTCACCAACACGTGAGGTACTTGCCTTCCTTACTTAGTACTGCAAGAAATACTTCACATTTAGAAACCTTACCAGAAAACACAGTCCCTGTTAATCCTTGTGTCATAGCAAAGTTATAATTTTTTAAAAATACTTTTTTATTATCTGTTACTCTGTACTTCTACATGTATAATACATTTTGCACCAGTTATAGCTATGTTCACAAAGTCTGTGCGTTGCTTTGGGATGCACGTAAGTTACAGTTCTGGGTAAGTTTTGCTACAAAATATTTTTCTTTAAAATTATTGTGTGTGTTTGAATATCATGCACATTTCATTAGTACTTCTATTTTTTGCCCATTCATTACTTTTTTTTCTAATGGATATTTCTGATATTTAAACATAAGAGAATATTCAGTTGTTTCTACTTTCCCACTGCTCTTCTTTTGGAAGAACCTTCCGAGCTCTCTCCTTCTGTCGGCTGGTCCAAGTAGCCCTGCTGATGGCCAGTCTGAGAGTGTCTGTCAGCTTGCTAGGTAAGTGGTTATATTAAACGTGGGAGCTATTTTTTGGGTATTGTCCTAGGTACCTTTGACATGATGAGAAACAATCTCCTGTCTAATCAGGAAGTACCAGTTTGCAGTTTAGGATTTAGAGAGAGAGAGAGAGTGGTAGACACAACTTATGTTTGAATAACTTCCTTCTTTTTTCTTGGGATCTCAGCAGCACAGAAAAGGACTCTATCATACGTTTGCCCGTAAGATAGAACCAGATATCATACTTGAGTTCTTGCTTTCTGCTTTACATATTATTAAGAGAATGTTTTAAACAATTGAATGTTATGGCATAAAATGTAATAATCTTCACAGTAAAATTTCTTATTTTCAGATCTGTAGAATTGCCAGTGAAGCTTCCTTTAACTGTATCGGGTAACACAAAACAACAAGAAAGCCCTTCTCTTTGTGAAATACCAAATTCTTCTAAGTCTGCCACTGTTTTGTCAAAGGAAATGCAGTCTGATCAAGTCAAATCTGCATTAGTATTGCCTTCTGGTACAGATAATTACAAGTTAATTGAAATAGACCCAGTGGAAACAACTTTTTACAAAAATGTGTTTTCAAAAGGTATGGTATATTTCTGTACAGGTGATTTCTTTCCAGAGCTATCTGAGAATTAGTATTTAATAATTCGATACTTGATGTACAACACTGAAGATTCCTAAATAATAAAACTAATAAAAGGTAGAATTCTCATCCATAACTATAGGTGTCCCGACAATCACTTGTAGAGTAATGTGCAGTGAAGTAACACAGCTGAAAGGTAACAAAACTAATGTGAAGAGAATAAAATTTTGATAACAACCAAACAATAACTTAAGTAGTTATAGGAAAATACATTTATTTTCTTTTTATATATCCTATTTCAGAAGTCTGACTCTGGTAAAATATGAAATTAGTTCTAGTTAACTGGCTTTTTAAGGACCAGCAACAGACGGTGTGTATTCAGAAAAAAAAAGTGTAGTGTGTGGCTTTCCATGCTTCTGATCCAACCATCAATAACCTGTCTTATTGTGATAACTATTCTTTCTGTCCCCAAGCTGCTGACATTTTTCTCTTTGCAGAAAATCAGTTACGCACAGATGTAACTTGCGGTAGTGCCTTCCTGACTCGTGTCAAAAATACACCATCTTTAAGAGAGTGTGAGGAGCTTACAAAACAATACAATGGTAGCTCGTTGCCCTTCTATGGAAATACGACTGAAAGAAAGAAACATGCAGTACTTCTTACGTTAAAAACTAAACCTGATGCAAAGGATGAAGGAGGTACCTCAGATCTTCCTCATCGTGGTATCAACAGCAGCAGCAACACCAATGACACAAATTTGAAGGGAAGTTCAAGTGACTTGACTCACGTTATTCCTTCACCTCTTAAATTGAGCTATGAAAGTAAGGCAGATTTTAAGAATCTGATTTTTACTGACAAGATGAAGCCTGAAGAAACTGTTTATGATGCTGATATGGAATTGACTGCCAGTGATGCAGGTGAGCTATTCACAGTTACAGCAAAAGACAAAGTACACCGAAATAAAAACAGTAATGTCAATTCTGATAAAATATTAGCAAATTTCAGGAAAGCAAAACATGCTAAGAAGGATAAAGAGAAAATTAAAAGCAAGACTGAAGTAAGTTCAAATTGGTGTGCAGAAGAAAAGTACACTAGGACTGACAGTAATGCAGTTCCAAAAACTAGTGACTTGCAAACTCAGCTGTGCCAAAGTCAGACAGAACAGCTACCTCCAAGGAATTCTGTAGGGAAGCAGAATTTGCTAAATACCAGCAAATGTTACGAAGCACAAAACGGTCCAAGTGAAGCTGAAGATACTAGGAGGGCAGACCAGGGTAACTTAATGAGTCCAAGAAAACAGGAGACAAATACAGAAACTTTCTCAGAAACATTGGAAGACATGGAAACCAAACTACAAAGAGCAGACTCAAACTCATATATTAACAAGATCCTGCCAGAAGTTTATTCTGCTGAAAATTTACCATTCCAAGGTAACGCTTCTGATGAGGGGGACTTTCTGCATATGAATGAGAAATGTAACAGACCAAAAATAAATAGGAAAACTTTTCAAAACCCTTGTAAAGGGCACACAGCAAAGGACTGTAGAGAGGAGGAGGCACAGTGTAGAGAATATATTTCAAAAAAGTCTCAAACAGAGATACATCAACATGACAGCAAGAGAGAACAGGACCAGAAGAATGTTATAAAGAGAAAATACAACAAAAAAAGTAATTACAGACAAAGTGGAGAAACTGCAAGTGACCGCGTTCATAAGCGTACTCAGAAAGCAGACCAAAAGAGTAACCATTTCTCACCAGGCAGATTAAAACGTACATTGGCAAAGGCTAGCCGGAAGATGTATATAATACCCCCCCAAAATGTTACACAGGTCTCGCTTCGTAAAAATGAAGATTTAAAAAATAAAGGTGCAACACGTGCAGAGGCTGTTCATGGAGATAAAATAACTGAAACTGAGCAAATGCAGGTAGCTTTAGTTACTCAGAATGGTGTAGCTACAGAGCAAGTTGGTGATGATGCCAATACATTAAAAAAAGGAGATTCATCGTCATCAGTGGTACATAAAGCCCCTCTCTGCAGTAATTCTCCTGACAGTCAGGTAAAGAGCAAACAGAGCTTTAGTTCTGATGATACTGAGACTAGACCAGAAAATAATTACGTCAGGCATATTGATCAGGGAGGGCAGAATATTTTGCGCCTCCAGGAAGTCCTTCATGAAACGGATTCATTTATGAGCGAGCTAAAGCCTACAGTTCAAAAATCAGAACTGAAGTGTTCTAAGAATATGCTGTTAAATGTAGATAGCTTTTTCCAGGGAGGTCATTCTGATGTGGAGCTCCCAGCCCCTGATGACCACAGTGTTTCCGTGAACTCTGTGCTGAAAACCTCTGAAATCTGTGCTGGAAGTGATCATAATGAAGTACTGGCTGCTGAAAAAGCAGAACAAAACCTGGATCCTAGTCTTGAAGAGACTTTCAGAAAGTCTCTGACACCTTGTGGTAAGTATATGGGTAAGGGAGAAAACAACGGCATTTTGAGTTAGGTAGTGCCTGAAACACTGGTATCTTCTCTTAATGCTATCGTACTCTTACTGCTTTCTTAGAGCGAATAAAACCAGAGTGGAGAAAGGTAAGACTGAAAATTACCAATATTATTCACATTCTCTATTATATATCCATCACAATATCTTTTCTAATTGTGGTAACTAATAACCTTATTACTTTTCAATATATTCCAAGATGACATTTAGTTGGGCAGATCTAAGTAGTGTACATTCTTGAGAAGCAATTTGTATCAAGGCATGTATTTGTTTTTCAAAGAATGTGATGGTTTTCAGAAGGCTGGGGATAGAAAAGATGCAGTAGCTTGAGCTTTTATAGAAGCGAAATAAGAGTGAACTACCCAGTACCCTTCATAAATGGAGAACATAGATCAACAAAGATTTCATTTGTGTTTCCTTAGAAACTGCAAGTCAACAGGAATTCTGAGATCTAAAAAAAAATACTTCAAACAGCTTTTCTCTAGAATCTACCAATGAGCAAACTTTCATGTGACCTTTTTTAAGTAAGATACGTTAATAAAATAATTACACTTTAGTCTGGAAGATAGGTTTAGATTCTTATGTCATACTATGAAATTAATGTAAAGGAGCTAAAGGAATGTATGAATAACACTGCTAGAGTTGAAATACACTTCAAGGTGTAGCCTTGAAGTTTCAAAACATGAGGGGTCTATTTTGTTAAACATATTTATTCTCAGCAAGTTCCTGTTTAATTCATTGTCTCTAAGAATGCCCCAACACCTGGACAGTTTCCCAACTCAAACTAATAGTTTGAATCCCAAACAATCAAGCAAATACTGCCTTGGTTTCACTTGAATTCTAGAACACAATGCCCCAAAAAATTTAAAAAACCATTTTATGTGACTACATGATAGGCGTACTGGCAGAATTAGACCATCATGTGAGGTGTTAGTCCTAATAATTTGCAGTTGCATCTTCTCATCTTTGATTCCTTCTTTGGAAGGTAGAAAAAGGGGTCCCATAATTTTATTAGCTTTAACTAGCTTTAATTAGTAAACCCTTGTGATCAGCAGTATCAAGGACTACTGACATCAAAAGGCAAGCTAATAATTTGATCTTTGTCTTTTTAATTGTAGATCAAAAACGATTTCATTTTTCAGCCTATAACCAAATCCATATCTTATCCTGTCTGATGATGCCAGCTCTTCTCATCACTACCTGGTGCTGTGCTTAGAGATATACCTCGAAAGTCTCCTGTAATGAAAGTCTCTATGTAGTTAATCTATGTGATATATATTTGCACTGAAAGGCATCCAGCTGTCTTAAATAATGCAGAGTTAGAGATGTCTCAAAACTCTTACTGCTTAAAAAGAATCTGACCCGATCTCTAACCTGAAGCTTCAGGAAAAGCTTGGATTAACAGTTTACTTTCACTTTAAAACTAGTACAAGTCAAGGGTGATTTGTGAGAAAGCCAAACGTGGGAGGTTGGTCATCATCAGAGATCCCCCTCGCTTAAACCAAATGAGCATTGTTCTTCCTTAATCAACTCCTTCAAAAGACAATGCATTTTCTTTTGCCTCCATAAATCAGGAGGGACTTGCTGCAAACAGTCCCAAAGTTGCCTTAATATGTCTCTCGGAAGTAAAGTTAGGAGAAATCCAATGAGGAACCTCTGCCCTTATGTCTCTGTGTAACACATTTCAAAAGACTATTGATGAAATGAGCATTCTTGCCACTGCGATACTATACTTGATCTTGGCACAGAATTCTACTAATGAGGGCAAAGTAATAATTTCAGTATTTCTTCCAAGTTATTAAAATACTCATCTCCAGATTAGGTACTGACTGTTTAGTCTGGCATTCTGAATGGGTCTTAAAGGATTACAGAAAGCTGGCACAAATGGTACTACTTCTACCAAGACTGGTGACTTCTTTTATGGAATATTGCTCTTGGACATGTTCAGCAGTTCAAAATACGAGACATTGTAAATAATTTGGTAGTATACAGTTTTGAAGACAAGGAGGCTCACTTAATCACCTCGCTAGGCACACATGCCCAAAAACCAGGCCTGAAGTTGGAAAATGCAGTACTAGAGAACTCTTGCACAGGTTGAATCTCCAGGGGATAGATGTATGCTCTCCCCCTCCATTCAAGGCCATGAGCTGTGTGCGGTTTTACTTTTTTAAATGCAAGAACTCTTGGGAGTCTTAAGCAGCTGCAAATTACAGTGCTTACTGGGGCTTTCCTAAAATGTGCCAAGAGCCACAGCAGACCTCAAGCAGCTTTAAATATGGCTACGTTGGAAGCTGCTCTAGTGGCTTTTTTTTTTTTTTATCATCAATCTAAATTTTTGTTGAGTATCTTTAGACAGGAACAGTAACCAAAGTACCTGAAATAAGAAATGCTAATTAAAAATTATTGTTAATTCAAAAGTTATGTAATGGTTCAGAAAATATTTTAAATAAGGCCTATAAACTACTGTATTCACAGGGAGAAAGGTTTTGCAAGATCTGACAAATACTAGAATAGGATCTCGCGCTTGCCTAACTACATCATCTGAAACTTCAGAAGAAAACTCAGCAGCACGATCTAGACGAGCAAGAGCCAGTATTTGCTACAAAGAACCCAGTACACACAGGTAGGTGTAGGTAAGATAGTGCTGTAGTTTGGTTTTTTGGAGTATGCAACTGTTCCCAGTCAAGATTTGCAATTAAACCCCCCAAATAAACGGTTGAACTATCACAAATCTGTTCTGCAAAGATACTTCTGTGTTGATATAAAACATTCCCTGTTAGTGTGGCAGGATTTCCAGGTGCTAAAGTAAGACACCAACAGTACTCAAGTCTCAGAATTTAAATACAGCATATAACATTTTGTACTAGTAGTAAATAATGGTGAATTGTTTATTTATCATGATATAAACTCTTCTGGAGGTAGATAATTATAGATGTTATACTGAAATGTGAACTTATACCATAATACTGTCCTTGCGATATTGTCAAGTGGCAAGATAATTTATGCACTAATAATTCACTAGTCTTGCTTTAACTAGTTGTATCTAATATAAGAAATAATATGAGTTTAAGATATATTTATTTGATTGTTATTTACTTCTCAGTGTTCTTAGCAAATTTAGTGGCAGAGGATTTCCAAGACTGTTGAATTGTGTAATAACTATTAGAATTTAAAAGAGGATTGTAAAGCCATGCTTCCGTTAAGAAAACTAATATATTTGCACTTACGTGAAAAGATCTAAATCTCAAAGGACCTTTAAGCTGATTACTTCTGAAAATATTCTGAGAGGTTTTTACTACAAAGTTGGTTGGGGTTTTTGAATTGGTTTGTTGTTGGGTTTTTAAAGCATACTAATTTAAGGGAAAATTACGCTGTGTTGTGTGTATGTGACTAGAATGCATTTCCATGAGGTATAGACAGTATCAAGATTTCCCTGGAACCATGCTGAGAGTGAAAGGGTTATAGTAACTTCTGTGACAGAAGTGTAAAAGGAGTATGTCGTCCTTTTCTGGCAAAACCATGGGAGGAGAAGAAAATAAATCCACAAACTGAAAAAATCAGAATAATATTCTCATACACCCTCAAAATATTTTTGTTTATCTGTCTAAGTATCAAACAAATAATTGAAGCAATGAGACTGAAGACAAATAGCAACTAAAAGTAATGTAGGAGGTGTCTTTTTACCACTGGCTTTTTAGAAATACTTACGCGCAATAGCTGATGTAAGAACTGCAAAGGAATTAGAGTTACATTTTTCTTTTACTAATTGAATTGGATGCTAAAATGCTGTAATATCGTGATATTGACACATTTTCCTTTTTTGCCCCACAATGATAGCATTCTATATTTGTGGAGGGAGACAGTAACTAATAACAGAAAAAAAATGTGGATATCACTCAAGATTTTATATAGTCTCCTATTTATACTTTAAGTGTACTGTCCTGAATGGATGCTGTTAAGGTTTTGATTTAAATAATTTTTGAGTTTTGTCATAAGAATATGTTGTGATTACTCACATATTAATGTGTTATAGGCCACATAAAAAGACTATTATTTTTAGGGTTGTTTTGGGAAACAGCAATTATCTATGCCTTGCTATTTCAGACATACTCATTTTCCATAAATTTAATTTCTTTAGTGTATCAAGCTTTCATTGCAAATATTTACCATTTGGAATTGTCATTATAATTACATAGGTGTGTAGTGATATTCATACACAATGTTTTTTATTTCTTTTGCTTGCAGCAAATTAAGGCGTGGGGATCGGTTTACAGATACACAATTTCTGGATTCCCCAATCTACAAAGTAAAAAAGAAAACAAGTTTTAAAAGTAAATCAAAATTTATTTGAAGAAGACAAGAGAATTGCCTTTGCAAACAAAACTTCCAAAATGGGTATAGTTTTGGTTTGGTTTGTGTTTGTTGTGTTGTTGGTTTTTTTAATATTATGTTTAGCAGTATGGAGTGCTTATTCTTTGATTAGTAAAGGTCTTCCAACGTGGAATTTCCTGGAAAGAAAGGAGCTCCTGTTGAAGGGACACAGAATGCTTTACTGAGGAAGGCAAATACTCTTGTGTTTTGCATTTCTGGTTAGTAATTTATAAATCTGATTAAAGGGCTTGCAGCACTTCCTAACATGTAAGAAAAGTGTACGTTTTACTGAGAATTAAAAATTAATCACCTTGGGAATTTTATTGTGAGTTTTTCATATTTACCATGAGTGACCATCAGTACTGCTTAGAACAGACACAAGCATCCCAAATGTTGATCAATCTACTGAAATAGATGGAGACAGTCTTTTTTCTTTTTTTTTTTGATAATTGACTTTTGGATTTGACAGACTCATACTGAGGAATAGTAGAAGGGCTGGTGTACCAGAGGCACCCTGAAAGAAAAGAGCACTGCAGAAGAAAGTCCCTAGTAAATAGGATCCAGCCAGAGGAACACCCTGAGTTTCAGTTGAGCGAGTCCTGGTGTGATGACTGACACAGCTGCATCTTACCATTCAGCTCTCAGGTTTTTGTACCGCTTCTTCTCAGGATTCTCATGAC